GCGCTCAGACCTGCTTGAGACAGACTACGTCGTCGATGCACTCTCGCCGGGTCGCGACCCGTCAGGTCAATTCCGGACGACGAGCCATCACCCCATGGTTCTTGGAAGTGTTCATTCCAACCAAGAGAGGTTGAGTGACCTGAACTCACTATAGGGCCCGGAGCTACTGGGATACCGAACTGGGATAGTCGAACTACGGTCCTTCAACCTCTGTTGGAAAACTTGATGAAGAGTCTGCGAACGTCCGCCATGGCCAATGATGTGTGAAGAGGTACATGCCATCCTGTTGAGCTTTTGTGGTTTCAAATCCCTCCTTTTGCTCCTGATGCCAAGCTCGGTCGGTCTACAAAAGGGGCCACCGAAGAGCGGCGCTGAGGCACATGCATTTGAGAAAACGAGGAGGGAAAGTAGCAGCGCGCGATGACTGACGCAGCAATTGACATGTTTCTTTGGCCCAAGACGTCCTCCTGTGGGTCTCAGAGTCTCACATTAGCAAGAGTCGCGACGAACGGAACAAGGGCATCGCGACTCGAACAGAGCGATCGGACGCTACAAACGGGGCGCTCCTGGCATTGCTGCTAGTAGCAAGAAGCTACTAGCGATGCAGAAGACTCAGAAGACTATCATTGGCGATTGGCGATTGGTGGAGAAGACGCCGTGGAGAAACAGCCCGCTGGTCCATCTTTCATTTTCTTGGCTGCCATGTTGGCTGCTTTTGCCTTTGACAAGGCTTGAGCTACGGCTTGAGAGGTTTCTGTTGAAATCAGCCCAGCAAGCGACTCTTGACTCTTGCCAGTGGTGGTGTTCGCCAGAATTGTTGCGGAAGAAGGGAGACATGGTACCTCAGTGCATCTCAGTGCCCAAGGGCGATCCGTTTCAGATGGTCCCTATTAGTTCCTACATAGAGAATGACCACCAGACGGGCCGTTCGAGCCTTGTCATACCCGGTTCAATGCCTTTTGTTAAGAAAGAAGCCGTTGGCTTCTGCACCCATCGGGCAAAATCGGCGACCGCCTGGTTGGCCCTAGTGCATCTGCATTTTCACCACAAGTGACCAGTGTGGCCATCAGTGTGCTCAAACAGCACCAGCGTATGGTGCCACAAAGCTATCCTTTTGTACGACTGACCCACATATAGACTTCCAAATCAATCACGCCGGCAGAAGCCGACAGAATTCCTTTTCGCCAGATGCAACTACGACAGTGGAGCCAGTTGAAAGGCATCGGCATTGATGTAGCCTTAGCCACCTTGACAAGTGACATGTCCGTCTAAGTCCCACGGCTGTTCTTCCTCATCGGGGATTTCATGATCTGAGGAGGCTCCTTGAAGCGCTGTTTTAAAAGTTGCTCCACGAGCTTGTAATTCTAAACGGCTTGGAGTTTTGCCTTTAAGCAAATTTTTGACATCAAGACATAAATTGCATGCCAAAGTTTTCATTCATCCATGGCAAAGCCTTTTGTGGCTCTCACGAGCGATCTGTTGGGGTCACCTGAAGAGTTTAAGAGGTGCTGCTCCGTAATTTCTTCATGTCGATGAGTTGAACGCGCTCAAGCGTTTTGGCAGCTTGCAATGCTTGAAACACTCGGTTTGAGAAGCTTATTTGACCAATCTCAGTTGCTCCAAGACAGGCACGGTACCGCAGATGTGCCGGAGCAATATGTGTAGAGAAAAGCGACCATGTCTCATGATTGTAGAAATGTTTATAGACAACTTCCAGAGAATTATGGACAGAGTCAACATCAATTTTACGAAGAACTCCTAACTAGTTTGTTTGATGAAAACAGCACCTGACGTTCTAGTTGGTGCTGTATTTTGGCTCAAGGACTTACAAAGTTTAATATCTCGCCCAAAGTCATGTGGTGGATAGTCGGTACATCTCTCTACATCGGTGCATCTCCAAGATGAACATCCAAGAGCTACGTTCGTAGCTTCTTGCTCCTAGTAGCGATGCCCTTTGTTACTATAGCTATATTGTTTTCCCACAGGCTCCGAGTTTCCTCCCATTCGGGGCTTCCAAACAACGCCTCACATCAACGTGGAGGGGTCGCGCCTCACGGAGCACGGGTGCTCGTGCTCCACGAAAGCCATGAGCTTGTGCCAAAGACTCTTCAAGTTGGAGGACGCTACTAGGGGCTCCTGGCCTTAAACTGGGAGCAAGAAGCTACTAGGGGCTCCTGGCCCCACTACTAGGAACAAGAACACTACTAGGGGCTCCTGGCTCTTCAAGTTGGAGGAGCTGGTGCCGGAGAGGCCTGGTGCAGCAGCCGAGGACTCCACCGTGAGCCTTGAAAGCACCGTGTGGACCCTCAGCCCAGTGGAGACCGGTGACACACCGACTGGGAAGCAGGCAAGCACCTGGTCTGATCGTATATTATATGCCTATGGCCCATTCTTCTTTTTTAGCAGGGAGAACAGCATGTCTTAGGTGGTTGGTGATCCCAAATAGATGTCACTCAGGTTCTAGGTAAGTATACCTGGACCTGAGGCGGGAGACTGCCATCTCGTGTTTGAATGGTCGTGACCTGACCACGTGGAGTTTCTATTGGAACCCCAGGTGATTTGAGGTGTGAAGATTTTGAGAATTCCAGCAGAGGTTGAAGAATATCCCATAGGTACCCTGGTAGGGTCCTATCAGGTCACTGAACCTCTGTTGGTTTGCTCCATCCGACCAGAGAGTCCGACCAGGAATTGGTTGCTCGGGGTGGTTTCCTCAGGGGCCACCCACACACCTTCGAACCAACTCGTTCTTGACGGAGCTGGTGGTGGAACGTCTCAGTCAGTGGAACGTCTGACCTTGATTGAAGTGTCCACGCACACTGAACGACGCGTTTTCAAACATCCCATGAGCTTGGCCACCCCATGCTGCCTTCTGTACCGAAGGGGCGCACTTCAGCAGATGGGTGAACCACTGGGTGAACCATGGGGGGATTGAATCGACTCACCGCGAGTCCATGCTGTATGCGGTCGTGAAGGATATCCACCTGACCTATTGACCCGATCACCTGGAAACCCGATCCACCGGCCCGACCGTGGTGTTTGCGTTTGCGCCGCGAAAGGTTAAGGTGTGTGCTGCCTGTGTGGCCTTTTTGGTGGTGCCCAGAACGTTCTGGGAGTCCAACCTGCAGGAAAAACAAGGACCACGTGTTGTTCACCCACTAGTCGTTTTCGGCCCCCAAGTACCGAACCTGAGAAGGTGGGACTGGGGTGGGTGCCAGGAGGGTCCAGGCGTACCTGGTGCGACTGGAGGTTTAGGGAATGTGTTGTTTCGGGGGAAGAACAACCAGCACGAACTTCGAACCCCAAAGAAGCACTTCGAACCCCAGGAATGGGGGTGTCAAAGTGGGTGGACGCTGGCTTGGTGGATCGTCCGGCAGAACGTTCAGGTGAATTCCATCAAGGCCAACTGGATGGTGCAGTTGTCCGTGGAACCGCAGACGCCTGCCACAGCCTCAAATTGGGAGGCCTTTGGAGGCCTTGAAATCATCTGTGGGGAATGCGGTCCCCGCAAAAAAGACCAGCAGGAACCGCCACCGTGGGGCAACGGCCTCAAGATGCGTGGTCCTTGGGGGCATTTGGGTCCACGGGTCATTTGGGTCCGCGGCCTCCAGCTGTGCGCAGCTGATTCGTTCGCCCGTCCGAAACACCCTGGAGCGACGAGTCTGACTTCCTGTCCCGGAAGGTGTTTTGCTTAGGACCGTATAATGTTCTTCCGGAGTAGGTTGGAGGCCATCATTCTTAGGTTGGAGGCCGTCTTCACAGGATGACATTGGAGCCCCCCCCATCCTCGGAGCAGTCCCATCACAACCAAGCGTGCCGAGCATGGGTCCGTTTCACCGTCGGTTTCACGAAGGTTGTGGTGCTTGAAATGTCTGGAAACGTGTCTTCTTCAGGTCACCATCGACCATCACCTGCCTGCTGAAAGATGGGATCCCCTGAAAAGCGGTGGAGAAAGCTTGACCCTGAATGTTGGAGCTTCCTCCGTTCGACCGGGCCGTGCGGTCATGCCGGCCATGCGAACCGGGCTTGGAAGGGGAGAGTCTGCATGGCCGACCCAGCGATGTTGAGGGAATTTCAGGGACGCTGCAAGAGGTGGCTCAGATGACTAGGTCGGGTGGTGCGACACTGCATGTGGTAGATGCAGAAAGGAAAGATGAGCGTTGAGGGCAGTAAAGCTGGCAAGTTCGTGGAAATTAGACTTATAAGAGCCATTCACGCCACAAGGCCCGTACCAAACAGCCCTAGTTTTACCCAACCTGATTTCTATACTTAATATGATTGGTCTCAAGAGAAAACGCCCACCAAAGAATCCTGTAAAGATGACCATGGATCATCTTAGGACCCTATGAATCTTCAACTTGCGCTTGTTTTTTAAAAGACATCGATCCCATTTGAGAGAGTATAAAAACCCCCCATGTAAGAAATTAGTATTCGCATGTCCGTTTTTTCTGGAAGCATGCTCAATCCCCTGTAAAACGATAAGGAAGCAAAAAAAAAGATAACCCCCGATGACTCTTGTGCAAAACCCTTGACATGCGAGACGTGGTGTATGCTTGGACAGAGGTGGAAGGGCTTGGTCCGCTGTAGCCTTGTGCTGCAGCATTGTCGTGCCACATGGTTTTCCAACTTGCACAAGGCACGAAAACGATAACACAACGATGACAAAAACGATAACACAGCGAGCCTAAAACACCTTTCCGTAGGCAGGCCACCTCATGGGTGTAGTTGGAATGAAGTGTGCCTAATGTCTTCATATCTGCAAGGTTCCACACACCACAAGCATGTAGTGCACACACTACATCACACTGTACCTAAATTATACTGTTACATTTGTTGCAGCTAGTCAAAGTGCTGTAAAACGATAAGGAAGAAAAAACAGCGATAACGTCGAAAGTGGTATAGGGAAAGGTAGGGGGTTTTTACACAACCTCATTTGGTGCTCCACTTCCTTGGAAGAGACGTCTCCTCTCCGGGCCCGGGCGCGCGGTCTGACCGGTGTCGAGGTCACAGTGATCAGCAGGCTGATACCCTCAACCTTGGAGGACCGCGTCGGGCGGGTTTCACGTTGAGCTCCATGACCCCCAACAGAGGTTGAAGGACCGTAGTTCGACTATCCCAGTTCGGTATCCCAGGTGACGGGCCCTAGTGAAAAGGTCACTCAACCTCTCCATGACCCTGACACAACACGAACTGACACGACACATGGCCGCCACCTGGACGCCGTGGTCCGCCCCGGGCCGGATCGGCAGAAACAGGTCAGTCCATCCCATCGTCTGGAGTGTCGACAGGTGAGCGACCTTGATGATCCTTTCAATCGGACGTTTTGATCCTGCTGAGCTCGGGGATTTGGCCCGAAAGAGGAAACAACACACACTCCACCAACTTGAGGGTTTTGATTCTGCACACATTGGGCTCTGGCTGCCTCCGAGTCCCGACTCTTTCACTGTTTTGCTTTCCCTGCCAGGGTCACCAGTGCTGCAAAGAGGTCATCGCTGGTCCGGATGGAGTCATTTCTGGTGTGTGTGAATTCCATTTTCTGCTCCTTGTCTGCAGCAAAGGTCGTGCTGTGCTATCTACCAGACAGACCATGCGCTATACATGTGCAGTTCGCTGCATATATCTGTCTGCTGAAACTAATTGCAGTCCTGATGCGTCCAATGTAAGAGTTTCCAGGGTTGCGTCCCCCCTCACAGCTATATAGTGGGGAAGCTTCCTGTAGCTCGTACCCAAGCATGTATGCCTGGCTTTGATGCAATGCTTATAAGGCCAAGGACCCACAGGTCTATTCTTCCTTATGCTGTCGGGGTGACTTACCCCCAAAGAGGCCCTTTAAAGGGCTGTCCCAATAGTCGAAGCTTGCATCGTTCATGACAACAGATTGGCACAAGCTGTGGTTCATTCCCCCAATTTTGAAGCAACCTTGCGAAAGAATCCTTTGTAGGGGCCTACTTGTTGTATTGGCACTTGGACGCCAAACCTGATCTTTGTGATTTCACTTGGAGTGGTTTGTGCGGCAAAACGCCCTGGCTGTGTCAGCCAAGTCCTATTTCTTCAAAGGAGCCAAGCCCGCGGATTTTTAGGACTTACCCTCAAAAACCCACGGCATACAATGAGCACCAGCACCGAAAGCAACAGGTCTCCGAAATGGAGGCTAGACTTAAAGGTCGCAGGTGGTGACCTGTTGGCGTCGGTCCTGGTATGTAACTGGGGAAACCGACCCTCCAAAGACCGGAAGAAGGGATATAGACCCAAAGCATCGAACATCCAAAACCCATTCGGGCGAGGAGTCTCAGGCGTCTTGCCGGAATTGGAACGTATATACACACCGCTCCGCGGGTCGTTTGGAGAGACCGGGAACATCGCCAAGAGAGTGTGCAATGTCGGTTCCACGTGAGCGACCGGGACCGGCCACACAACCCCGGATGGTGAGTGGGGATTTTAGAAAACTGTCCACTAATGTGCGGAATGTTTATGAATGTTCTATCGGGCTAACTGGCTGGGCTGCAGAGGGTGGGAGGGTGGGTAGCCTGAAGTGTCGTGACTGATTGCCTGAAGTCTCAAATATACGTACAATTGTGTTCTACCAGGACCAGCCAATGGGGTGTGCGGCTGGACTTCCCTACACTACTTAGGGACTTGCATTGGACACCCAGACAGGATGGTCCAGGTATGTCTCTCTCTCTCTCTCTTTCTTTGGTTTTCTCAGGCGGCCCTCGCAAGAGTACACCTTTTGGCTGGGGCGGGAAGGGTCCAAAGGCGGGGAAGACGGTCCAACGGCGTGCTTTGGACAGACGTTTTGTGTCCCGACGCAAGCAGGGTGCTCAGGATGGAAGCTGTGAAGGATCACAGAGCTCGGGGTTCCACCAGCAGTCACAGAGCTCGGGGCGCTTAATCATGGATCTTCGGAGTGCCCCGTCGTCACATCTACTCACTGGATGGGACGAGCCACACCACCCCGGGCTCTATGTAGTTTGTAGCGGCCACCTTTGACCATGAAGCATTGTTAGGATTGCCGCTTTCCAGAGAGGCTCTCCCCTTGAGTACGTTTTTTCCACATCCAACCATCTAGTATACGAAGTCCTGAGCCCGTATCCCGAACACGCGCAGAGAGTACCATCGAATGATCGAATGTCCGCTTTGCCTTGAAGACTCTCCGAAGGAGTCCGGCAACTTCCGGTGGAGACACCCCCCAAGTTCGCATCAAATCCACTCAACTCCCAAACCGCTAGAATCAACTCACAGCGATTCGGAAAAAAACACTTCATAAGCCCGACATGATCCTCGAGTAGACTCCTGCAAAATGCAAGTCTTATTCAGATTTCACTGTCTTCACTGCAGATCTGATGTTTGCTCGCAAAGCACCAGCAACACCTCCATCCAGCCACCTGGTCAGCTGCACCAGATGCCTTGCTGCAGCGCTCCGTGACCACGGCGCGGTGCGGACGGGACACGCCCTTTCAGATGGCCATGCTGATCCCACCCGCCGCTGGGCGGCCAACTGGGACCGAAGAAGACCAACTGGGCGGCCAAAGGGTCCATTCTTCCGGCACAGCCCCTTGGGCGCTTCAGGAGAGCTCGAGATGAGACATATTTCAAAGAGCGGCCTTGGCCCTTTGGCCCCGGACAGAGCTTGAGGCCCTCCTCCTGCAGGGCAGGTTCCTAGGATCGCCAAGATCGCCCAGGTACACGGGACGAATGTGGATAGGAGTACACCAATGGCTTTGTTTTCCAAATCGTCAGTGAGCACGCATCGGTTGGAGGAAGCTTGTTTTCGGACAGGAAAGGGATCTCCGACACCAAAGAGCCAGATCCAACCAAACATCTCAGGAAAGACCAACGCTTACACTCCAAGGAAAACTACAGTAACATGGAAGTGGAGTGAGTTCACCACCTCTTTGGTCTTCAGATGTCTAGATGAGTTGTCCACTTCCACCATGGATGATTTCAGGGCAAACGCCTCACATTCCACGCATTTTCCTTCATCGGGGGGGCTTCCCCGATGAAGGGGCAAATGCCTTAGGCTACTGGGTAGCTTCTTGCTCCGTTCGTAGCTGATGGCCTCCTGCCTTCTTTGTTCTGCCGCATCTTGAGGACATGTGGACGACATATGTAGGCCCCGAGCACCAGCTGGGGTCGTGGCTCGGAAGCTGTGCCCTGGCGGAACCGTGTCGGGGGGCTCTGGCGGAACCGTTGAGAAGAGGTAAGAAGAAGAGCAGCTCAGGCACGGCCAGGTAGGAAGTTCACAAGAAAAGAGGCAGAACTGAGTGGATTTGGGGCAGCCTTGTGGCAGCCAGGCCACTGCTAGGTTGCCAACAAACGACGAATCCCTCGAAGCAGCCAGCAAATCGCATCAACAATAAGCGTGAGAGTTTCCCCAGAACCAAAACAGGCGTTGAGACTTCTCAGGACAGTTGTTTTCGCGTGAGGCCCTGAAGACATGGTCTGGACGGTGAAGCCCTCCTTTGAGCTGCTGCGAGCCCTATGGTGTCTCGACTGGTCGACCCGGTCGAAGCTCGGTCCCGGTGGCCGAGATCCTTCGACCGACCGACCCTCCACCTGCACCGACCTGGAGTGACAAGTGGGGCTGCCACGAGGAGATCCAAAAGGGTGATCTAGGGTGGGAAGAAACGTCTCAAAGGGTCACTGAAAGGCACTGGAAAAAGGTCACGGTACGTCACGAAGCTGCAGGTCTCTTTGTTTGGAGTCGTTGCCTTCCGGAGACTCTCACAACATGTCACAACTGCTTGAATGAGAAAACGTTGGAAGGTCCCATGTTCATGCCGCCTCACTAGGGGAACATGAGAGGATTTGGCTTCGGCTGAGGAGAACCCACCGTTTTGAGGCGTCTGGTTTTTGAGCTTCAAAACCCCCTCGTGAGTCGAAACAAGAAGCTGAAAAGGTGCGCCAAGCTGGCGAGGTTTCCTATGCACAGCTCCCGGAAGGATGACGATATCTTCCGAACACCAAAGAGGTGGTGAAGCATTCCCAGACGCTCCATGGGACTGCCATATATGGCGATCAATTGGGGTGGTTGACTGGGGGTCAATGGGGCGGCAGTCCTATGGCAGTCCCATGGAGCGTCTGGGTATAGTACTTCTGGGAACTGCCTGGGATCATACCACCCCAATGTAGGCATACATGGCAGTGTTTGGGATTACTATTTCACGGATCCCCTCGGCCGTCAAAGATTTGCACCTCTACCCGTCCCACGGCCCTGATCAGCCCTGAGCAGCCCTGAGCAGCTGAGCAGCCCGCACATGATTTGGCTGTACCCTAGCCTTCAACGACCATTCAAAAGAAATCAAAAGAATGGTCGACCTGGTTTTGTAGTCTAGAATCATAATATCCTATTGTGAAACGAGGGTTGTTTGCTAAAGATCTGGTTGTCAAGACATTCCAAGACACCTCTTCAAGGCGCTTAAGGTATGTGAACCTGCTCCAAGCATCAGCGCTTGCCAGAAAATTTCGTGATATCGCCGCCTGTCTCGACGCCGTCAGGCGGAACGCTTGCTTCACCTTGCCCTCGAGAGGTTCACCCATCACGCAATGCCCCAACCCCATTTCCAGGCGGGGACCGTCCAGGTGGAGGGGACCGTCCATTCCATCCTGCTTAATTAGGGCTGGATGGAAAAGGGTCGAAGATATTGGGAAACGAGATGAAGATCATGCCATTGGGTTGTTCTTTTAATGTGTCGTACTCGGACTTGTTGGCATTTGTGAAGGTGTGTGAGGTGTAGGATTTCCAACAGATCAGCTGATGTAACCCCGTGCTTTTTGGGGTGACCTGCATGGCTCTTGCTTCATGGTTCTTGAACATACGCAATGTGGTCGAAGTGGTCCAAGTATGTCTGAGTCCCCACACTTGGTCGGTGTTTGAATTGGTCGGTGACCGAAGTTTTTCTGGTTGCAGCAGCACAGGGCATCGATCGGGTCTGAGACGGGTGGAGCAGCAAAGCAGTTTACAACTGCATGGTGTCCAGCCGTGTGAAGGTGCCAAAACCATTTCAAGGAAACTGGACATGTGACATGTTCTATTGTTTTTAACAATTTGGATTTGGAAGTTATTTTTTCCCGTGTTTGTTTATTATTGTATTCGTCTTTTCATTGTTATTTTCCAGTGGTTTGCAAAGATGAGGATGTCCTGCGGTAAAAAAAAGATCGGCCAAGTGATTGCATCAACCTAGGACGTCCCTGCCCTGTGAACAACCTCCGGCCATCTTCCACAGGGGTGATTTGCCCTAGAAACTTAAACAACAGTCACGCAGGGTGTTCGTTACTTCTCCCTAGATGATTTGATCTTGCAACTACAAATCCCACAGTGGCTTCAAGTACATGGATGTTCAATCTGAGAACGTTGTGATCTTCCCTTCGCAAACCATACTGTCTTTCTGCGACACCCAGGTAGGGTGGCCCCGGTAGATACACCACGTTACTTAAGAAGGCGCAAAAAGGCCAACAAGTGATTGCTTCTTCTAGGGGCAGAATCGCTTGCTAAACTCTGACTCACTAACTTGAAAGTGGAAAATGGACCCTTCGATGACTATTACTTTACAAGCAGGGTGGGAACTCCACTTAAATTGAATTATATATAGGTCAGATGATGTTTTTGTCGGAGTGTACCTGTCGACTTGCGGCGTCGCCCTGTCCAGGTATTGCCTGGATCTCACCAAAGGCCAGCCCTGGCGGCTTGCTTTGCAAAAGGGAGGACGCTAAAGCTGGGACCTGCTGGGACGCTTTTGGGGCAGAACATGGCACAACCAACGGATGCACCACCAGCGATGCATTGGTTTGGTACTGTCGGAGCCAAACCTGTCGGTGGGGTTTGACACCGAGAAGTACTGTCTCCGGGGCGGATTGGACCTGTCTTTCTCAGAACAAGCATACTTCCCACATTCACCCCCAGGCCAAGATGGACTACAGCACCATTAGCGACCTCTCCGCATCGGCTTCTCCCCGACAGTGCCTTTTCTCCCAAGTAAGTCGTCATGGGAGAACGCTCCGAAGGTGTGATGATAAAACCCGGACCACCGGCCCTTGAAGAAACAATTTTCATGTTTTTAATTCCTTAAGAATCAAGGACCCTCAGTTCGGTGACGGTTTTTTCTTCGGGTCCAAGGGCCCCCTGCGTTCTGGGTCAAAACCCTCCAGTTCGGAGGGTCCAAGGATTCGGTAGTCGTAAAGGTCTCACGACGACTCCGCGAAGTTCGGTTACCGTTCCTCCGCGAACGACGGCATCCCCCAGGCTTCGGAGCAAGAAGGTGAGACGGCACAAGGGCGACTTCCGATTGACGGCACCTCGGCAGAGACTGACTTGGAGGCCGCACCGAGACCGACCCGGCATTTCAGCGGTCGACCAACCGGTGACGGTCGGTCGACCGACGCACCGGTGACGGGTCGGTCCGCCGGATGGGTCGGGTCAGATTTGTACTTAGAGCCTGGGCTTAACTCCCTTAACCTAGCTAATAATGAGTTACTTAACATGCATATCAATCTTAACACACTAGCAAAGCCCAGGCGTATCTAAGTAGAGTCAGGTCGACTCGGAGGATGAAGAATACCTCCGCACTGAAACACCCTTCTGCCCTGGAGTAGGAGACCTGTTTACGATCGTAGGGTAGGGTACGTAGTCTATTGGACACCCATTGGATGATCCTGGTCCCATTTCGATTGTAAAATCGCTAATCATATAGGGTGTTATTAGTCATGTTTTTTTCTTGGGGGTTGGACGGCTGTGGCGATGTTGTCGATCGGCCTTGCATTTTTGGAGAATGAGTGGAAACCACGAGATGGTTCACCAGAGTGCAACTTCGAGTTAACAAGTGACACAGTTCCCAATACCATAACCCACAATTGGTTGTCAATAGACACCCCTTAACATCTAAGGGGCCTTTGAAAGAGATCCCTCAAGCGACCCTACCAAAAGATGCAACAGGACTTTCTTTGCAAAGAGCTGTGATTCAAACAACAATCGGTGGTGATTGGTGGGCTCGGCATCCTGGCATTCAAAGAAATACATTGTGACCAGACATTGCAGACGTTGGTTCTCCTGATGTTTTGGCTAACCTAGCTAGGTTTAGTTGGCTCGCATTCGATCTTTGAGCGACTTTAGTGTTTTTCGGATTCAATTATCGCAAGGACCAAGGACCAAGGAAAATGAGTCCACCTTGACTGGAATGGCTTCACATGGACCATGGGAGAACGTCACAGCTTACCCCCCTTTCCCCTGAATTGGATGAACTGATTCATGGATCGATATACACCATCACTGGGGCACTGGGCTTTCTTGGACTGTTGAGGTGAATGCTGACTATCAGCAAACCTTCAAGCACTGTGAGCGTGTGCATGTCGAGACCCACCGGAGTTCCTTGGTTGGGCCGAGACCTTGACGGGACCTGACCATGGCTAGCAGGTATGGCTAGCATCCATACTTATGGGATCAACAATGTGCGGTGGCAGCACCACCGTGTGCTTTGTGTCAACTACCTCCCCCTGTCTTCCCGCAGCTTGGAACACCGACAGCGCTGCACGCTTGGAACTCCTCGGCGCTGTGGGCGACCCGGAAGGCCCCGAAGCGGCTCTCAGACCACGTGCTGACACATCACACGGTGATGTGGATGGCAGCCATGCAAACGCCTGTGGGGTCTTTGGAAGGGATCCGAACCTCGCGGGGACCATCCCATCCACTTCCAAGAGAGGTTGAGAGACCATATACCACCCTAAGGGGTGTCTATTGATAGCCCCTTAGAGGCGAGGTGATTCGGGGGTGTCCATTAACCACCCCGACAGTGGGTCCGAGTATAGGACCCTGGTCTGTGGTACATATGTGACACAGGTCTGTTCAACCTCTCTTGGATGCCATCCGCTTTCCACCATGTGTTCGATATAGGCGACCACCGGGCATCGCTTTTCGGTCTTCGTTCTTCGGCGCAAGAGGGGCTGGACGCTTTTTGGGAGCCGTTGTTTGGTGACCGAAGGTAGACTCTTGATTCACAAAATTAACACCACAGGACCACAGGAAAAGGCTTTAGAACCCAAATGGATCCCAAGTGGTAGGGTTTTGTATCCATCAAGAGTCTACACTCTATACACTGTTGATGGAGAGTCCAAATCCATGAAACCATGACTGGGGGGAACCAAATCCATGAAACCCCAGCACTGGTATGGTCTGCTGCCTTTCTGAGTCATCTCTGAGAGATGGGTTCCGGTGGCTGGTGAATGGGGTGGCTCTTGCCTTTGGTGGAAATCTCATTGGAACCCCATTGGGGTAGCTATACCCATTGTTGGCTAGTGTTATTTTGCTAGAAGCGTTTGGCTCTCAATCAGACTATACATGAAAGGTACCAAAGCATAGAGTAGTAGCTGGGATGCTTACTTCGTGACTTGACTGAACAAACCATCAGTTACGAACAAACCACGACAACCTCAGCAATTCCGCCACCGGATGGATCGGTGAGGTACTTGGATTACTCCTGACCTGATTCGTAGCCTGGATCAATGTCGCCAAGACAATGCCGACTTGTCCCTTGAACGACATCCGTCCTCTGCGCGTCGGGTCTCGCAGGAGACGAAACGGTCGTCGCGTCCCAGTCGTTGCAACGGAGGTGTTTTCTACGCCTTCGCGTTCGGCGCGAGGTCGTAGGAATTCCGCTGCTTTCAGGGGATCCAGACGATGTTCGAGGTGATAGGTCGACACTGATTTTGGGACACGTTGTGGGGCACACGATCCCGACCCGAGTCGAGCCATGACTTTGATTTGGCCTGGTAACGTGGATGATGACTCCCAGGTGAGGTTTTCAATCCCAGACACGACTAATGGGACTGCCATATATGCCGATCAATTGGGGTGGTGCCATGAGGGGTCTTTCTGGTGCGGCAGTCCAATTTGGCAGTCCCAGACAGGTCGTGTCCGGGAATGGGTCGGAAATGGTGGGGATCTGTGACACTGAACCCTCACGGAGCGTCTCCAACCAGTTCGCTCCGACCTGTTGGAGGGTGCTGGGTGCGAGTGGTGCGAGTAGTAGACGACCTCCCTTCGGTGTGAGGAAAGTCTACTCCATTGAGCTTTGGGAGAAGAGCCTCTCGGATCGACCTGGGTGGATCGACCTGGGAGCAGATTCCAAGCAGATTCGGTTGAACGCTTCGGAGCCTTCTGGAAAAAAAGAATGAGCCAAAAGAGAAACCACATGAATTGGCTATATAAGTTTAAAGTGGAGTGCAGAAAGTGGAGTTTCAAGAATGTTGCTTTTCTCTTGGGCTTTTAAGCTATAAAACACTCCTTCCAGGTTTAAGTGATTCTTACAATTTGATCGCCAAAAAAAAAACAGGAGACAGCTAGACTCTCCCCTTGGAAGGTTCGGAACATACAATCAACACTATTGGTAATTGGTGGGATTTGGTGGTTTTGTTGTCCGATTAAAACCCATTTAAGTGGCTGTGGTTGTACATGATCACGCCAAACAACAATTCAACAATGAGATTGATCTTGAGCAGGAACAAGCTTCTCAAGCTTCTAAACAAACTTGAGATGGTCAACAATGGTGGACCAAACGCGGGAGATTGAGCATTCGAAGAGCTGTTCAGAGGAGCTTGCGACCCTCGATCTCGACCAACTCCGTCGCGCTCGATCGGGGTGGCTGCGAGGCACTGGCCAGCTGGCAGCCGCCATCATGGCACTCTCCATTGGCGCCTCATCACAAAATATCCACCTGCAGGGCACAGTGGACTGATGGCCATCCACAAAAACTAGCATCACTTGGACATAATTATTGTAGACTCTTGGTTGGATGGAAGAACATATGAGGGGGATTGAGGGGGTTTGTTGATCAGAATCATCACATGAGCTACACTGCACATCAGAATCAAGAGGTGAAGTTCGGTGAGTAGATGCTTTTCTTGAAGCGCCACGACTGCAGACTGGCAGGCTCACGGGAGAAACTTGAGAAAATCAGTTGGTGCATAAAGACCAGAAGGGCAGGATTCCCACCCCAGCAAACTCTATGCTCTATACCAGAACCTGAGTGACCCTTTTTTTTTGATCAGAACCCTCCCAAAACATGGGCCCTTTCCTACAAAAACAGGGTCATGTCTAGGCAGGTTCTTTTAGCCATGTAGCCTCCAGCTAAGCCGTAACATGCCGTAACAACCCGAAAAAGTACATTTTTTTTGAAAAATGTTGATTTTTGCTTTTGGTATAAACATTAATCTTGAGTATGTATTGAGTAAAAGGGTAGGTATTGCGTAATTGCATAAATAACATTAATTAACATATTAAATATAACCTGTTGGTCATAACATGCATTGCAGTATACTTGATTCATCATATACTGTTGGTCATATACTTGAATATCTCCGGGCAGGCTTGCTTGGAGGAGGCCATTGTCTACATGAGAGGCTCCAAGAATTTGATGGTGCCAGCCCGATGGAAGAACACCTTCCCATATTGTATATAGATATAAATAGAATGCGAGCGTGATTAACGTGATATAGGAGAAAATGGGTTGAGCATGTATTTGGACTGGTGAGCATGTATTAGGTAACACGTGACCCGGAGAAATAGAAATTAAGACCCGGAGAAAATACTGACCCGGACTAGACCCGGAAAAACCCGGACTCTGAGCGGAGAAACCCGGATTCTGAGCGGAGATCATGAGCATGTAATGGTGTTACATGAGCATGTATTGTGTAATCCAGTGATTGTTGCATGTAGCCATTGGGGATCACATGGTGCCACTACTGAGCCGTGTTTGGAGTTGTTCAGACCTTGTTGAGGGCGCAGCCATGCTTACTGATGATGCTGTGCTGGCAATGAAGAAGAGTCTCCTGTCAGAGACTCATGGGAAGTCGCATATACTGTACTATTCATCAGAGACTCCTGTCTGTACTTGATTCATCATATACTGTACTGTACTATTCATCATTAATCACAACCCGGAGATATTCAAGTTGAGTATGTATTTAGTAAAAGTGTAACTTTTTAAATAATAAATTGAAATTATTATCATTGAGTATGTATTTCTCAAAAATGTACATTTTGAAAGACGGTGTAACAATTCTAGCACTTTTGGTTTAGCTGGCTGTAACCCATTTCTTCAGCGTACGTCTTTCGTGGGTGAGCCAATCCCTAACCAAGCCGCCGACGCGGTGCCTTGGATTTGGATACTCTTTGCATCCGAGAAGCAATCAGGCGATGTCTTTCATGACTACACCATGGCGCGTCTCGGCCACGAGGGAGAGCGGGCTCGCAACGCAGGTTCACCAGGTTCGCGGCTTCCAGTCGACCGGATCCGGTGCGATCGGAGGTAGTCGGGGTGCCCCTGTCACATCCACTCACTGGATGGGACGTTTCACACCACCCCGTACGAAGGTGACTCCTGGAATATAATATTGATGTATAATCAGTTCTGTATGCATGTATCATCTATGATCATCTATATCATTCACTCACTTAAGGACTAAACACCACCCCGTCGAGCGTGACTCCTGGATGAGGTGATTCGGGCGACCCGGATCTGATCTGATTGAGTCGACCTGTTTCGACGTTCGAAAGGAACCCCATAGAGACGCCAGGCGATGGCTACGGGAGCGGTGGATTTGGTCGGGGGTATATCTTCCAAAGATATGTCCTGTGAAACAAGAATCCTTGGACCCTCTTTTGCAGGAATGATCTTTCCATGTGGATGACTATGTCAAGGATTACACATGATTACACAGTGTATCCTCTTTTTCAGGCAGTTTGCCACTGCATCCATGGGGAGATGCCTCAAACCAGTCACGTCTGCGTCTCTGCCGTCTCACCGCTGGACGGCATCGGCTAACACCCGGCATCGGCATCACTAAGGACGATGATCCGTGACAGCCGCTCTGCAGGAGCAGTTCTGACCAAGGCCGCTCGGAGCCTCCCGCGGACCGTTTCGCATCGGTTTCCTCGTTTCGGCATCCAGGACGGTGTCGAAGCTCAGGTAAGGTACGACTGGACCCGACAATGGCAGCTACATGACGGTGTCGAACACATCACCTGAGAAGGTACGACTGGATCCCTAGGGCATCTTTTCCCTCAAATCGGGGATGGGAGAGGACTCCACATGAGTGTAAGGCAGACGAGCTACGACCCACTACCATGCACTACCCAATTGGAGGGGATGGTCAGTTGGGGATTACATCCTTTGCCCACACACCTGAGCTGGATGACTACAAACACTGCTACCAGGCATGAGGGTACGCACCGTAGGATCCCCGGCACTGAAGGGCTACAGCCGGACCTCCACGCAACAACCGGAGCTCCACTCCATGGGACTGCCATAGGACTGCCGATCAAGCCAGGGGTGGTGCCAGGGGGGTCAACGTAGGAAATTATTTGGAGGTGGGAGTCACTTAGTGAAATATGTGTTTTTTTCCGAAAAATTAACTAAAAGTATTAGTTGGCAAGCCATGTAGGTGGTGGTACCAAAATAATTTTCACTAAAACAGTCTAGGTGGTGCAAAATAACTATCATATGATAGATATATTATGATATTATGTCTAAATAATTTTGAGTCTATGACCACCCACCTGCACAAAATTGTTTAAAATTAATTTTGAGTATATGAGGACCTACCTGTCTGGTGACAGAGCAGCAGCTTGCAAACAAGCACCTCAGAGTTGCAGCCTTTGGGCACAATGCTTTGTGGGTTTACTGCTAGATCAAAGCTAGATCAAAACATGTACAGATAGTTGGAAAACAGGGAGAAAGGTTGAAGAAAAGGAGCATGGCCACCAAATCCAATATAACTTAACTAATTTTTTTGAGAGGGTGGGTGACTATACAACCACCCATTAAATGGGCTTCAATCAAGGAAACTAGGTGGAAAAGGACAGGGTACAACCTCATACAACCTCTATAATGAAATTATTTGAGGTGGTGGGTGACTACGCAACCACCCATTCAATGGCGCCGCGAAAAAGGTGGAACAGGACGGAACAAACAGCAAGGAAACGGTGGAAGAGGAAAAGAGATTGGAAAACTTGTGCAAATCCGCTCGGGTTTTTGAAGATTGTGTTAAACATAGGAAGAAACATCAGCATAAACAAACATGTGTGCGGCTTAGGAGGGGTTCGAGTTAGCCCCGGTGGTTGACTACTCAACTACCCATTATGACAGTGTCCGCGGTAATCCGAGCTGAGTCAACTTTGGTCAACTTTAGGGGGGTGGGTCCCACCTAGATGGTCTCATGTTGGATCTAAGTTGGAAATTTGTTATGACATTCTTGACATTATTTGGCAGACTTCGGCAACAAGCGACGAAGCGTGATTCACCGGGCCACGTGATGCTGCAGGTGGTGGGACAGCTGCTGACGGAGGCAGGATATACTCTCTGGTATTGGGGGTACAAGAACCCCTACATGGCAGAATATGATGCTTGGCACGTTTAAAAGCAACCGGCTTCAAAGGAGTGCAGTAAGCTGCGCCAACAAGACCGGCTGGGCGTGATGTGGAGGGTCGACTGCATGACACAGCTGACGGCGCCACGAGACTGTGACGCTGCATGCTTCGGATTCTAGTACCACGGGCTCGGCCACTGCGGGGCGCGGCACGGAACGGCGTCCACTCCGACTCGTGGACTCGGCGGACGTCGTTCGAACGAGTTCCGGTGCTTCATCCCGTGATGCTGTGCGCCATCCGTAAGCGAAAACGACGGGCTCCTGAGGACGGTCAATATGGTGGGTTGCTGATGAACAACGAGAAGGATTTCTGGCCTCGTTGGCGGCGTGCCATGGACTTGGCCAGCGACTCGAAAAGGACTCCGGGAACGGGATGAAACAGGTCCCTTTGTATGTTGGTCTCCATATACTGGTCTTTATGCTTCTTATAGATCGTGTGTTTTAAGGCTTCATTCAGCCGCTGGGTCTCGCCAGTAGCCTACAAGGTTTTTATGGAAAGGAAAGGAATGAACCGGGCTTATCGTAGTGGACCGGGCTGCCCCGTTTTGGGTGGACCACGTTCTGTCACGCGGTCTACAGGCTTGGTCGGCTATGGAAACCACCTGGACCCAACTTCAAGTACCGAACATGGGACATGCCATGACATGCCCCCATAAGAAACATGCAGGCCAGCAGTCACAAAGGGATGCCTAATGGAGGTTAGGGGTGCCCCTGTCACATCTACTCACTTAAGGACTAAACACCACCCCGTCGAACGTGACTCCTGGGGTATACTTGTACCCCTTTTCGGAGGTTGATTGAGACTCCAGGCAGATGCTTATGAAGCCTTACGATGCATGTTCTTCAGGTTTCCCTTATCTGAGCATGTTGATATTCAGATCCACAACTCACATCAGTTTAATCTTTTTTTGGGGGAGATTGATCGGTCAGTGCGCTTACCCGTCAAATACACGGTGATACACGCTGTGTGAGGTCTGATAGTGTCAGAGGTCACCGCAAGATCATCATCTCTCCTCCTTCAAGCGTTTATAGTCTTGAACAAATATCAAACATGAATCAGACTCTCCTGAGCCTCGCACGGACCTTTCATGGGCTTCTCTTCCCGCAAAGTCCCGACCAGATCCAGACACACGTCACCGACCTACCCCTACCCACCGAGACCCACCGCGTCACGTCACAGCCGGCGCTTCCGCGCTTCCAAGGCACGCCCGCCACCCCGGATTTGGCCCAACGCGTCCCGGCCGGAGGCGCGAGATGGCGCGAGGCGGACGCCCGAGTCCGTCCCAAAAGCAAGCGAGATCCCCCCTCCTCGAAAATGGAGGATCGAGGGGGGGGGTACCTTTAGGAATTCCATTTTAATATTCCATTTACACAGCCAACATGTTTCCAGTTTTATCTCCGCGTGGCCCCGAGAAATTTTGACAAGCGACGCGGTTGAATGGGAAAGAGGCTCCAGCAAGCTCACTGAAAACAAGTCTGAGCATGGAGATGCCAGGGTGCCCACCAGATTCAAGACTTTTGATGGCTTTCCGCTTGGGCAGTAGATTAAGACGCCAAGAAAAAAAGAGTGCCAAGATCGTGTGAACCGCCTGAAATCACTTGACCATGCTGGCATGATTGAATATGATGGTCTTGCTTTGAATGTGGCCAAAAATCAAAAAAACAAGGAGCATCGCTTACGCCCCGCGGGCGTAAGCAACGCGACCTTTTGGACGGCACCGCGGTCCCTCTGCTCGGAGCTCCCTGAGGGTCCGCATCGCTTATGCCCCGCGGGCGTAAGCAACGCGTCCATGCAGTGTATTAGGCAACGCGTCCACGCAATGTAAATCAAATCAAGGTCTGTTTCTTTGATTTAACGCTCGATGTAACCAGATGCTCGCTTGTTTTGCACTTCGAAATACCAGATACCTGGACCCCTATCCAATGTTTTTTGTTCTCGCCCAGAAACAGGACGCAGCCCAAAAGAGACCAAAAAGATGACGCCAAAAGATCAAAAACACAAAGCAAATGATGCAAAATATGATGCAGAAAGTGCAAAACAGGTTGGGTAAGTGCAGGCTGGTGCTATGGACGACACTGAATATCACTGGATCTAGACCGTTGCTAATGCATCATCAGGGTCAAAAATGATTTTCTGTTGGGGGTCCGACCCCCCCACCCCCTGGGGTAGCAGGGATCAAGCGAGTCCGTCCACGCGGGACGACGACGTCAGGTTCCATCCGGAATCCGTGCAAGGGTGCTTTGGAATCACCGGATGAAACACCGGTGGTGAAAACCGTCCGGGGAAGTGGTGGTGAAAACCGGTCGACGGTACGTCGTGCGGCGCTGGCTTCAGGGATCGACCTCTCCTTGCTCTGAGGTGTGGACGGGGAGATGCCGGTGAGTGGAACAAGCAGCGTTTTTGGGGGTCTTTTTACAGCTGGGTTTTGTTGGTTTGTGTGCATATGGAACCAACAGGGAGATCCTCATCGAGATCGTTTGCTTGTCCGTTTGTTCCGTTTCAGTTTTTTGTTCCCTTCTTCATCCTTTTTCCCTTGGAAGAGGATGCAACCTCTGGCTGGCGACAGCTTGGGATCAAGGGGCCTGAAGCAAGCCATACAGGGGCTCTTCTTCATCAGAATTGGCTTGCAGGGAACGCGCGCATTTGTGGACACATGGGGGGGGTAGGACGTGGGTGACGTGGGCTGTCGACAGAGATGGGTGACTTGTTTTTTCTGAATGGCACCATCTCGTTAGATTCCCAGAAGTTCCAGTCTGACACATGAAGTACCCCCACCTGGGAGTCCTACTCCACATTCCAAAACGACCAGGCCGAGGTACAATGAGTCATGACTGGACTCTTGGGGATGGACCAATTTTATTTTGATTGATCTGCAGTTCACCAAGTGTAACCTTCAACATCCTGCAACGTCTAGAAGTTCTTCAAGGGGGGGGCGCGGCTTTTTCACGAGCAGGCGCCTGTGAACTTGACTGACGTGCGCTGCCATGAGAGATGCAGTGCTCATGCGCAGGCGCTGCCAGGTCCAGCAGTGCCTGGCCTCAGTCGCAGGGAGCCGAAGGTTCTCAGCACCGAGGCCGAAGGCTTTTCTTCTTATCTTTGGCCGAAGGGATGCTCAAGGGCCCGCCCCAGTTCCGAACGGTTCGGAACGGTCGGGGTCTTCTGCTGGATCGCCGGTGGAGGATGACCGCTTGTTTTTTTTTTCCTATCTTGAGGAGAAGCTGTGAAAGTTTTGCGATATCAAGGGTTTTAGAAGCTGAGCATCCCTTGCTGGGCGAACGCTGTACAGTGAAGGCCTCGCAGAGCCAAAATCCTTGCAGAGCCGCTGCATTCTTGGTCAGGTTTTTCAACGACGATCATCCGGGCCCGAACGAGCTGGCATGCGCCGGTACTTTGGCAGGTGTTTCTCCCCCAACATGCGATAAGAAGCTGTTCTGCAACTTCTCAAGCTGTTCTGCATGGGATTGGATACACTCTCCCAAAAGTCATGGATTTGGCAAACCAACGTTGCTGTTTGTAGAGGGGAATATGGTCATCCAAGTGGCCATGTTCCACTTCCAGATTATTTCTGGGATTTCCATACTACTGTCTGAACATGTTTGAACATTCGGGTGTCTCAGCAAATGAGCTCCTTGAATAACAGACTGACTCTTGAGATACGTTGTGATTCCGTACGGAAAGACCCGTCGCTGTAGGTTATGAATTGGCGGTCTAGTCTGGGTATTGCAGGTCAATCATGGCAGATCGATAAAGCCAGTGGCAACATGGGATCCGACAACGAGCCCCTGGACGGCGGCTGCAGCTTAGGTTGGTTGCTGCAGGATTGAATACAGTATGAGAGTTACCATATAGGTCTCATGAACATGTGAAACATCGACCTCAACATCTATCTCTCCGACCTATCCTCCTGAAAAGCAAAGGCTGCGAAGGCCTGACCCACTTGCAGATCTTCAAGAGGGAGGAAGGGCGGGACTCCTGGCCCGGCAACATCTTCACCGGAACCACCATGTCAAGAAGAACCGATCCACGGTACCCACCGCGTCTCTGCCGCATTTTACTTCGACAAAACGGCATCGCGGCGTGGCCCTCAGGCTGAGTCATAGAGTCAAGAGTCAAGACAGACAGGTGCATCTTGCGGATCAAGGCATGTGGATGTGGAGATGCGGATCACATGAATGCCAAGATGGACAAGACTGAGTACTGAGTCGCACCCAGGTTAAGCCTCAAAGCGCCTGGGATGCTTTCTTTCAATGTGGTGGAACTACATCGATCTAACAAATTAAGGTTCAACAAGAACATACACTACAATCTTCAACCTATAGCATAAACTGAGTCCAACCATGCTTCCACATTGCATGGATAAAAGTGTTGATTTGGATGCGGATGAATGAAGCTCACCAACAGGTAGAACATCCCTACTGTCAGCCCAATACTGGTACAGTATACAATGCTTTCTTCCAGAAAACTGAAAGGCTTTGGGCCATCGTCTTCGCCTGTCAACCTCCCCACGAGCCCAGCTCCGAGCTAGCTCGTTCTCTGTGCTCTCTCACTGGCGCGGAATCGCCGGAGCGATGAATGTCTCGGTGGATCGCAGCGTGCAGAAACCTCAGGACGCGACGCGCTGCGCGACGCGCGAAGTCCGGGTCCGGGTCGGTGCCGGTTGGTCGGGGGGTCGACGCGGCATGATCCGGAGGTGGTCGACGTGCCAGGGAGGTTCGTTGTTCTTTTTTTTTGCCGGGCCGAGAAACCGAGTGAAACCGTGTGAAACCGTGATGCGAATATGGGATAATTATAAACATGTGTTTTTTCCATGTTGGAAGAGACGTTTGTGGGAATTCACGGTCTTTTGTTTTGAAACTCTTCCCATTTGTTGAAGAGATGTATAAAACCACACCTTCCAACCGCAGTTGGGTCTCCGAACTGGAGGCTTAATGATGCAGACTCAACCCAGGCCGCCTTCAGTTCGACCCTTTAAAAGGGGACTGACCTGGTACCTGGTGAGTTTTTGTGTAACATCCTTCGTATAAAACCAAGGGTTCCGGATGAAGACCCATTGAAAGCTCGGGCTTTTTGCTTGGTCCATCGACGTCCGACGTCCTCGTCGCGGCTCGTCAGTGTCCGGTGTCCTCGTTGTTCGACCTGGAGAGTTGGTGGATGGTAGTGACCGGCATCTCTGTGGTGTGAAAAGAGTGTCCAAGAGAGGTTGAGTGACCTGAACTCACTAGGGCCCGGAGCTACGGAGACCGAACTGGGATAGTCGAACTACGGCCCTGAAAAACCTCTGTTGGTTTGTTCGAATCTCCAAGGCCTTGAATCGTCACAGACTCACATGCTCTTCACCTAGTGAATTCCTAAGAGGGTCACAGAGTGGGGGAAGGGGCCCGGGTGGGTGATTATATATGACGATCCTCTTTTTTCTGGAAGGATGAACGCTTGGTGTGGCAATTTGGGTGGGGGTGTTGTTCTGCCGGAAGACACAACTTGCGCTAGTTCGTCATGCACTTCCGAGCCTCGCCTCACTTGCTTTATATCAAAGAACACCTCATCAGGATGTCGGCAGCATGTGGTGATCTCGATCTCGGGTGTTTGAACTCCCACCAACGAAGGGCACTGAATTCTCACTTTTTGTTTGGGACAAAACATGTTGCTTGTCAAGGCTCATGTTTTGAAACCATACAACTGCTACACAAATTATTTCTCTTGCAGTCGTATTCTCAACAAACACCAGGCTATTTAACTCGGATCCCAATTCGTCGGATCCGAGTTTTTGTTGAAGTTTCAACAAGCGCAGAGGCCAAGGCCACGATTTGAGCCTGCCAATTGGCACGCAAAACATGGGGCTCAGAACAGCTCGTTTTGTTGAAACTCTTCGATTTCCCTTGAGTTTGAAACTCTACCAGGGTCCCCTAAGAATATTGGTTAATGGGCCTCCCTGAAAAACCCCTCTAATACGTTTCCCTGGTCTTTGCTCCACAGAGCACGGAGCCCAGTTCGTCCCGACGAGCACGACGTATTTCCTCGTCCACCGGTCGCTTCGAACGACGACGTGAGGACTTTGCGTCCGACGGGACGGATGCCATTGGTTTCGTCCAGTGTGGAGACCCAGGAACGATCCGTCCCCGACACGGCGCTTTGGCGGTTTGGCCAAAACGCCGATTTTGGGGAAGACCTGGGGTCGACCGTCTGGGGCAGCATCTACCAGCACCCCCCCCCACAAACAATCAAAAACCTGGTGTTTCCAAGCAACACATATATGAAAACCTTTGTTTTTTTCATGGGATTTGAGGGTCACTGGTATGGCGGTCCCAGACGTGTCGTGTTTGGGATTCCAAGGCTTCGAGTCCGCTTTCGCTCGCTCCAGCGACTAATTATAGGGGATCATCCTGGGACATCCTGGGAGGGGTTTCCCATCGGTGGACCGTTCTTTTTGGCAACCCAGAACCCTACAGGTCAATGACCTCATGAAATACCGGAGTTGGCCATACAACCACACTACTCAACTCAAGGAGGTAAAAGACCGGGTTTTACTGAGTCAGACTGGACTTGTAGGGGAAGATTTGCAACCGAGAAGTCGTCGTACGGCTCGATGGTTTTGGTCGGTATGTTTTTGTGGGGTGAATCCGTCTTAGCTGGATCCTTCGCTGGAGGGGCCGGTTCCAATTTTGGATGAAGGAAGTGGGTTTTTATCCTGTTCTTTTTGGGGATGAGAAGCAGGTGGTTTTCGTGGACGGTGGATTCTGCCGATGTCTGGGTGATCTAGGCTTCGTTGGGTTTTCAGGATCACCAAGTGGGTGTCTCGTTATAGCCCCTTAGCTGTTAAGGGGTGTCCATTAACCACCCCGAGTGGGGGGTGCTGGTTAAGGATCACCAAGTGGTTGCTTGAGGGATGCTTGCCAGGAATGCTATTTGTGGTGTCTTTGCTTTCGCGTTTCAGCACAGTTTTGTTGGTTCGCGCTCTCAAGAAGAGATGGATGGCCATGATCAAACACAACCAGAAGTCTCATGTCTGATCTGACACGAGGTGATGACATGGTATGACATGCTCAGGTAGAGACGTGATCTGGCATCATAAGACCTCAAAGAAGAACATCATCGGAATCGGAATCGGAGAAACCTGCCGAGCTGCCGAGCCTCCGAACGAAAGAGCCACACCTGTTCGGTGTTCTCTCATTCGTCTGTGAAATGCAACACGTCCGACACCGAGAGTGACCGGGTCGAAAAAAACGGTTAAAAAGACCTCGATCAACGTAATATAATATGTAGGATTTCAACATCCTGGCTGGTACAGTAGTGGTTTTTGACGTGGTTTAACCAAACAATCATGTACGTTTTATTGACGATTTTGGGCTACAACACCAGGTCAACAATTCTTTTAACATGGTCTTTAAAGGCTATGGATCTATATGGTATTTGTCCTATTGGTGAACGTAGCGTTTCAACAGCTTGTCCCGGAATGCCACCCATTGCCGGCGTCCGAATGGACTCGCCGACAGATCGGCACGACGAGGTTTTGGGGCAACTCGCCAGCGTTGAATTTGCTGGGAGACGTGCAGGCGGGAGCACCGGGGAACGATCACCCTTCCTTCAGAGGGCGGTGTTCTGTTTTGACCAGGCGGTCAGCCTTTTTCCAAGTCTCAGATGCAGTTCTATTTAGAAGAGTCTGTTGATTGTAGTTCATGTTCTCTCCAGATGGTAGTACTGCAGTTCATGCTGTTTCTAGTTCATGTTCTCGGGTCCGGCCCAGCCCCTCTGTAGGTTCCACTCACCCCGATGGGTCAAAGGGAATCCTCCAGAAAGGATCGGAGCGCGCATGTCTTCAACCTGCCGAGACCAATGTCTCAGTATGTCTCAGTGTTTGAAGAGGTTGTTGCTCTGAAGCAGAGGGCCGAACTGAACTGAAGTATCCAACTGCCTTTTTGACAGCTAACTGTCGTCCTTGTTCGTCCGGAGCGATCTGCAAGTTGTGAGGGTCGCAAACAGTCCAGCCAGACTCCAAAGTTCTTCATCCTCCCAACGAACCAGGACCTTCCAGCAGGTGGTTTTTGGGACACCCCAAATCACCACTATAAGAGGCTATTTCTAAACACGGAAGGTCCTGCAAGGCCCTTGGAGTCTGTTGTTTTTTGTCCCACACCAAGACTACCAGGATATACCAGGATCATCCTGTCTGGGTGTCCTGGCTGGACTACCCCACACTACCCTA